AATCATGCTATAGCCCAGAAATCCCTCCCAAAAGAGATGCTGTTAGCACACATTGTCACGTTGCCAAAACCTAACAAACCACCCACGACGCCGAAAAACTTTAGACCCATCTCACTCCTAAACACAGACGCAAAACTTTTTGCCAAACTCTACGCGACAAGACTAGGACAAATCATACCACACATCATTCACAACGACCAGGTGGGTTTTGTAAAAGGGAGACAGGGGTCGGACAACACAAGGAAGGCCATAAACCTGCTATACAAACTACAGACACAAAAGGAGGGGGGATTATTCCTCTCTCTGGACGCAGAAAAGGCCTTTGATAGGCTACACTGGGGGTTTTTAAAAGCAGTCTTACGCAAGTTCGGAATACCGGACAAATTTGAGGCTGTAGTGGACGCATTATATAGCTCACCCGAGGCACGGGTGCTGAACTCGGGGTTCCTGTCAGAGCCGTTTCGGCTCACCAACGGAACAAGACAAGGCTGCCCACTATCGCCGCTACTATATATCCTAGCCCTAGAACCACTAGCCACACGATTCAGAGAAAATAGCAACATACACGGAATAAAACTGGGGAAGCAGGAATATAAAACAGGACTGTTTGCAGACGACATTATGCTGACAATCACACAGCCACACATCTCACTCCCAAACATTCTTGCTGAAATAAAGGAGTATGGAGATCAATCTTATTATACATTGAACGTCACCAAAACACAGGCCATGGGGATAGGAATGACTCAAACCTCGCTAGACAAACTAAAAGATAACTTCCAATTTGACTGGAGGGGGGATTACATCACTTTTTTGGGATTAAAATTGCCAAAACACCCTCACCAACTGTTACAACTTAATTACGGCAAACTCCTAAAGGAAAGCGAAGAAACACTAAAAAGCTGGGAACACAAATTTCTGTCTTGGATAGGTAGGATGACTGCCCTGAAAATGGTCTTACTCCCCAAGTTCCAATACCTCATCAGAACACTACAGATATTCCTCCCGAACAAATACCTAAACAAGCTGCAACGCATATACACATCATTTGTATGGGCACACAAAAAAATAAGAGTGGCGTCAGCGATCCTGAGCAGACATACCTCTCAAGGAGGTCTGGGCCTACCAGACGTCCGTCTGTACTACGAAGCCGCCCTCCTGTCCACTAGCCTCACCCTACACACAGGGGGAAACAAGCCACAATGGGCAGAGATGGAGACTGCAGGGATATATGCGGGGGGCATAAAATACATATTCTGGGTACCCCACAAGTTGAGACCCAAACACAAAGATTTATTACCAACCACCTCCCTACTACTAGATACATGGGACTCGAAAACAAAATTCCTAGGGCAAACCAAACACTGGGCAATGGCGACCCCGATACGAAGCCTGCACATAGTCAATCCCACCTTAGACTACCGCCCCTGGACCCAAAGAGGGTGCACACGTGTAGAACACCTCTACAAAGAAGGCAAACTAGAACCATATCCCATTCTGAAAACCAAATATCAACTCCCGAATGCCACTCTGTTCACATACCTTCAGATAAAAGCACTTCTGGAGAACGAGACCTCAATAACAATAGCTACACCCTTACAACAAATATATCACATATGCACCACGGGCAATATCCCAAAAAAGACACTCTCTCTACTCTACGCCACACTAAACGACAATCCCAAAACACCACCGCAAGACAAATTCAGGGAACACTGGCACGAAGACCTACATAAACAATTCACTGACAGACAATGGCATAAAGCCTTTATAGCCCACAAAGGGAGATCTAGATGCGCAGCGCACTTAGAGCTCATGAGGAAACTGCAGTACAGGTGGTACATGGTGCCAACGAGACTGGCAACCATGTATCCACATACGTCAAAACTGTGTTGGAGGTGCGGGACAGAGGAGGGCAGCATGTACCATATATGGTGGACATGTAACCAAATACAACCATACTGGAAAGAAGTAGGAGACATTATTCGATACACACTTGACACACAGAACCCCCTCCAGCCAGAATGCGGTCTGTTGTTTATGACCCTGGAGACATATAACAAGACACAAGCGATACTACTCTTCCATATCCTAATAGCCGCAAACACACTGATCGCAAGGGCTTGGAAACAAACCACGAGACCAGGAAAAGATGCATTACTGACCCAAATCTCCACCAACCTAATGTACGAAACCAAACTAAATGCCAAATTTGGTGCATCTGCTCAGGCAAAACAAGCCAGAGACAGATGGGAAGAGGTGACGAGAACCACATGTAGTGGTTAGGGAACAGCCAGGCAAAGATGAGGGAGATAGAGAGGAGAGGAAGAAAAAAAAAAAAAAGCCACCAAAGTCGCACAGCCATAAATCATAGGGTGAAACCAGACATACGCACAAACCAGGGGCAACAGAGAGTGGGAGAATCATAGTAGACGGATACCAATATGTAAATAGTTATAAAGATATGTAAATAGTTAGATAGATAGTTGACTTGGGGAAAGCACAAGATAAGAGTTACACCCAGATGGAGCAATCACACCGGCTGGCACGGTACGACACGTCTAGCAACAAAAGAGGGAGGTGTATTGTGATTATGTATTACATGCTGCGCCGCAAGGGCCGATGCTTTACCCCGATATGTTGTAACCCCCCCCCCCGCAGGAATCTTGGATGTAACACAACTGAATACAAGAACATGTATACTGTTTCCCCCCCCCTTTTTTTTCCCTTTCTGTACCCATATTATGAAAATGCAGAATAAAAAGTAACTTGGAAAAAAAAAAAGAATGATACTCCCTTGGATTTGGATGAGTGAGTCGCGTGATATTGGGTTGGGTATTCACGGATGCCAAAATTGGGGACCCTATTGATGACAAAGTGGGTTTCTTGGATACAGAGTATGTCTATTCTTTCTTTTCTCGCTACCTCCAGGAGGATACGGCACTTGTTGGAGTGGTTTAGTCCCCGTACATTATGTGATTGTACCTTCAGAGTCTGGGTGTTTGGGAGTGGTGCCATATGAGGATTCTGTGGTTCTTTGAATTTGATTGTCAATTTTTGGCTACCCACGAGAGACAGATTTATTTGTGTGAGCATGTTTCGTGCGGTATGGATGGGGGGGGTCGTGACGTAACGTAGGGGTGTCAACTTGGATTGGGGAAACTTGGGTTCCTTTCTTGAAGGTGTGGTGCAGGGCGTTCACACTGTGGGGGTAGGAGAGTAGGGATTCTCCCATAAAGTGGCTTTCAGCTCTAATGCCTCTAGTGGTTTGCAAATGATGTCTGTCCCACTGCTGTGGGAATTAGTCGTCCACATCTAGGTGCTGCAGCGGGTGCTTGGAGTTAAAATTCTGTGTCCCTGTATCAATGTTGGCAGTTTGTAGGTTATCAACCTGTTTATGTGTAAGTTCTCCCCGCACATTATCATGTGCAGCTAATCGTACCTCTTAGTCCTTGAGGTTTGTCCTGGGCGCCTATGTCTTCCCCTTGGTTTATCTATGTGATTCCCTCAGGACTCCAGGGCATATGCTTCTTGAATGTTTGTGACCTCCGCCCAAGCCATGGGCCAGTATATATGACTAATCTCTCGGGCATATAGGGGCGATGGGAGTCTGCATCATAAGTCTTAAAGTTGCCCCAGGAGTGAAAGAGATCCCATTGAATCTCAACGGCGGTGTTTATACTAGATATATGACAATATTGAGTTCTAGTGCTTCAAGTATGCACGACACTGGGGATTTATGGTACTTGGAATCTGCCACCCGCATGACTGTGTTATCAAAGTGGCTGTATAGCTGTGGCACTGATCACAATAAATCGTTACTATTGTTTCCGGGCTGAGTGTTATTCATTGAGATTTTTAACTTATAGCAAACTAGGACATGTGTCCTATACAACTGTTTGTTTCAATGGGTCCCGTTCGGGTTGGGTGGGCTCATATAGTGGATATTCCACCATATCTGCACAGTGGGCCCAAGAAAGAGGAGGGTAGAAATATGGAGGTAAAGAAGAGTTTGCATGGAGAAAAGAGATTGAACAAGTGTTTGAGTCAAACATACAGTCTATAATTTTTTTTACATTTTTTTTTTTGTGAGTTCACTCGCTAAACCTCATGGTGCCATTGCATATGTATCTTATCTATATGTAAAATAAGAAAAAAGAACATATAAAGGAAATAGCGTGATAGTTAAGGACATGTCTTATTTATGTGTTTGCATTACCTTACGAGTTTCTTACTGTTACAGCAGATACTCACGCTGGGCTGCCCAGTGCTTTGATTTTGTGAGCTTGATGGGTGTTTTTTAAATATTTTATGTGATCCCTGTATGTGATCCCTGTACCTCTATGTGCATCGTTTTGCGGACTTCAGTTGCATATTTTCTAGGCTGATCTTAACCCCTGTACCTTGAGCTGAAAGTATTTGTCTAGCCTTTGTACATGTTTCTTGTTTCAGCATAGCCTTTGGGTTATACAATACAATAATTGTGTATATCATACATGTAGTAGCTGTTATACATGGAGTTTAACATTTTATAAAATAGTAAGTTTGTGATCCTTGAAGTAATGTGTATGATATCTACATAAAAATTGTTAAGGTGATGAGAAACTAAGTCAATATATGAATTTGTGGGTCCTATCACTGGGCAACAAGGTGGTGTTACATATAGCTCCTAAAGTGGAAATATTTGAAAATTATTGCTGAAGGGCTCGTATCGCTTCTGAGACTATATGTCCTTGTAAGTCTATTATGGTGAGCCTGAAGGCTGATTTTGAGCAATTTAATAGTCTTATATAGCTGCACTTCGGTGTGCATCTTTTGCGGGCTTCACCTGTATGTTTTCCAGGCTATTCATGGTATCAATACATCGACCTAAAGCATATGTCTGAGCTATATCTATGCCCTGGTCACCAATATAACCATATAGGTTTTTGTAAGCAAACTGAGCTGTTAACAAATAGCATGTATGACATTTTTACAATTTATAATGATATTATACTTGCGGCCCACTGCACAGTGCCTTTAGGAAAGTCTCATGCAGGCGGTACGCCATTCCGGTGTCCGCTTGCGTTGTGGATGGTGAGTTGCTGACTCCATCATGACCAGCATGTCCGGATTCTGGTACACCACGCAGTCGGAGGTTATTCCTCCTCGCTCTATCTTCTGCATCTGCAATCCTTGTCTCAAGCATTTCCACTTTTTCTTCCAGGTTTTGGACATGATCAGCCATGTCGTTGTGCGCGGTGGCATATTTCACCATTTTTTACTCCACTTGGGAGGTTCTTGTTCCGATCTCGTGCATCTCTCCGTTGTTTGCTGCCATGAGGTGATGAGCTTGTCAGAGAGGGAGTCCAGCGCTTGTGCCAGGTATTCTTTTGTTATGTTTTCAACCCATGTGGGATCTGTTAGGGGAATCGGGAGACTGGAATCCGAGTCCCCGCCGCCATCTTGTGCTTCTTGCTGCGAGGTTTGCAGAGCTGGAGCGCCTTTAAGGTTGAAGAAGTTGAATTTATCGGCTTTATATGCCGTCTTCTTTGATTTATTGTGGGACATCTTAAAGGACCACTATAGTGCCAGGAAAACAGTGACCAGGTGACCAGGGCCTTTCCCCTTTCCAGAGCCGGGAGGGAGGGGGTCCCTGAGTATGTTTTCCTGGCACTATAGTGGTCCTTTAAGGAGAACAGTTCCAAGGGACTCCTGGCACTGTAATTTTAATGTGGGCTATAGCAGTTTTGGTGCTTAGACTGCCCGTTTAAAAAAAAAAAAAAGTACATAAATTAAATTTTAGGAGGCCATAAGATTTCTAAATATGATTTGTTATATTTTTCTCTGTATGCAGAAATGTGGATTGCAGTTTAATTGGTTTATCATAAACTGTGATTCAACTATGGTAGTAAGCTGCAAAGATAAATGAGTCCACATACAACTACACTAATGTGTTTTTACATTTATGCTGATACGCTACAATTTTCTAAGTATACAACTTGTCTCAGATCAAGTTTAATCGTCCTGTTACATATTGCTTGATAACAATTAAAACTTACACGTGACAACTTTACTGTATGAAGTATTATTGCTATTCATCAAGTATGAGTCCATTTAGAAAGGAACGACTCTTTATTCTGTGCTTTCAACTAGCAAAACATTGTTCCTGGTGTACTATAAAATGTTAATAGCTAATATCCTATGCTTTTATGGTGGTGCCATTTTTCTAAGCTTCATCAGCTCTTTCAAATGGTATCATTATCATTGAAGTTGTTTATTGCAATAAAACAAGAGAGAGGAGTAATGAACTGTAATTGTGTGTCTCTTTAAAACGAGGAAAGCATTTTATACTGTGCCAACTAAAATAGTGATACCATTATCTGCAGAACACCTTTTTAAAAAACATTGTTCATTCATTGTTCCCTATTTCACACATACGTTATAGCAACTTGTGGCATGTTTGTGGCTTAATATTTTTATATATCTGTATCAGTGCAGGTCACAGAGGTGCTATGATGGAGTTTTTGAAGGGAGATTTTTTTTTTTCCCAGCAGTTTAAGGCAAATGCAATGAAATACAATTCAGAATGTTTCTATTTTAAATTTTAAAAAGCATAGTAAAACTTCAAAAAGCCCAACTTTCAGTCCACAATTAGTTTAAATTGTGGTGCAAGTTTGAAAAGTGATCAAACAGAAAACAAAATCACACAGAGTCTAGAGGTGGGGCCCAATACATTACTTGCACCAGGCCGCTTTCTACATTAGTTCTGACAAAGTTTGTGTGAACTGTTCTATAAAAAGGGTTGGGCATCCCTGACCAAATAACACATAATGATTCTTGTTTTGTTTTTTTTATTTTGTAGTGAAAACAAGTTAAGACAATCTCTGCAGAGAGTAAACCTTATTTGATATGTGAATACAAATACAAAAAGATAAGTCCTGCGCTCACTCCCATCACTCCTGGGCGGCAGCAACGACCACAGTACACATCAGCCCCAATATATTAAAAAAAAAAAAACAACAAAGAAAAAAAAAGTTACATGCGCTCTCTCCTTAATCCCTATGTATGTTTAGACAAATGGAGGCCAACGTCAAGGCAGACCCACCTAAGCGGGTCCTACACTGACCCTTCACCTTGCTTCCTTGAGCTTCTGACAAAGATATCTCTAATGAGACAGAGAAGGGTATTTTTTATATACACCGCTATATACTTATTAACCCTTAATAGAGAACACATGGGATGGGCGGCAGCATTGTAACAAAGCTGTGTGATACAAAAGTGAATACAAATACAAAAAGATAAGTCCTCCGCTCACTCCCATCACTCCTGGGCGGCAGCAACGACCATAGTACACATCAGCCCCAATATATAGTAAAAACCAAATAAAAAAAAAGTTATTTGATATGTATCACCAAATTTTGATTCACAGTTTAATTTATTTTAATTTAATTGAGAGGAAACAATGCAACAGTACATATGGCATTTGCAAATGTTTGTGTACCCTTTCATTAATCCACAATTGATTTCTTTATAAAGGTATCGTAACCTTAAAGGAATTCTATAGCATTAGAAGGTTGTTTTTTCTTCACCTTCTTGTCCAATCACAGAGGAGTATTGGAAACGAGAAGCACATACATGGCAAGCACTATGCTTGACCAATAAACTGCTTCTCCTTGCGAAGCATTACCTCCAATGCTTCCCTATGATAGGCATTAGAGGACGTTCAACGTCCTCATGCAATACAATATCATAATAATAATACATAAGGACATCTAGCGACATAGAACTGAGTCTGATGGTCATAGTAGTGGAATCACACTCAAGTGGCTTTTCAAGAAGACAAGTCACCAGAGATGTGTTAAACCCTGCAATTAAAACATTGCCGTATCAAGAAAACACCGATGTTTAACATTACAGTTTGAAGTCAACAAGGTTACTGCACCAAGACCACTTCACTGAGATGAAGTGCTATGGGTGCTTATAGTGGTTCTTTAATGGCTTAATTAAGTATCTGTCTAATAAATTCTATAAGTTTTGGAACCTCTCAGAAAGTATTGCTCTGGCCATAGCATGGCCATAATTGACTCTTATAAGCAGGGAGCGAATATAAATAGACATTTAAATGCTACATGCTTGTATTGCAATGGCAAGTGATGGTCTAGAAACTGAGTTATATATTTATCAGAGGTATGTTTATAGAAAAAAATAGAAATGTTTGAACAAAAGAACACCTTGACAACTGTAAAGCATGGGCGTTGTTATACAATGCTGTCAAGTTGTGCAACTGCCAGTGGCTAAGGAAATACTGTAAAAGTAAAGGGCAATAAGCAGTTCTACTAAATGTCAACAAATCCTGGAAGCTAATCTACCACAGTCAGTGAAGAAGCTGAAGATGAAAAATCAACCATGAACTACTTGAAGAAATTAGATTAAGGTTTGTTCTTAATTGACTGGAAATTGCCTTCTCAAACCTTTGCACATGGTGAATTTACTGGTTTAAAGCAGTTAAATATATGTATCTATGATACTAGTGGCTATACCAGGAATTCATGATCTGACATATTCCAGATTTTTATCCGTATTATGCCCTGTACTTTCTCTGTCTCATTTGTCAATAAATACCCATTTTCCACACTTTCTTAATAGCAGTACCCTAATGCTATCCTACTCAGGGTTCCCTCCACTTGTAGCATATAGTAAGGAGTTTCCAGTGAAGCAGAATTTCTGTAGTCGGGGTAAGAGGGTGGGCCACTGATGTCAATCCCATAACCAGAACCTCCCAAAGTTAAAACATGCACAAAAAGGGGGCAGGTCTGTATGAAGAATTAGATGGTCAGCCTGGTGTGAATGCACATCTGGCTGCCTACCTATCATGCAGGATGACCAACCAAGGGCATACTGTGCAGACAGCACCCTGAACTTGGCATAAATGCGCCTAATGATGCGCTAGCTCTACGCTTTCTAAAGACTGTCCCTTAGCACTTGCTGGCCTGCTCCTCTCCTTACCTTCTTACTAGCAGCCAAAAGCTCCTGTTATACAGTCTGGTACAGAGAAAATGTGTATGTAGTTAGTGTAGAAGAAATGGAACATGTCCCAGTGTTAGAGAGACTGAAGCAGCAAGAGCACTTGCATAGTGCGCAAAGTTAGCTTTACCATAACTAATTTAATTGTCAGCCAGTCCATACCAGTTTTGTCCCCCCACATCCCTTTCAAGTTTCCATACTTAAGCAAGAGCATGTGAAGAGTAGAAAAAATTTTTTTTTGAAATCAATTGGCCTATTCCATAGGCATGGGACTGGAGCTGCAGCTACATTAGCCCCTATGTTAATCCGGCCCTGCATATAGGCTTCCCTTTAGCCAACTCACATTGCCTTTTGGATTCCACTATGAACTCTTTTAAGATGACATTTTCTGTTCATATCCTCCATTACCCAATATACAGCAGAAATGTTTCCGAATTTATGGGCTACAGCTGCATTTTACGAGACATTTCATAGTCAATTGAAACCAAATCCCTCCATATTCACAAGTTTAGTTTCAGCGCAGACATTTTTAAGTATAAGAGAAAGGATTACATATATGTTTCATTTTTCATCATTCTATATGTGCTCAGCCTCTTAGCACAGAAATGAATGATACTCTAGTTCAAGTCATAGTCAGTTTACTAAAAATTACCAACCATAAACTATGCTTACCATGTTTATCATGTATTTGAACTAGCCCTGAATTAGACCAGGCTTCCCCAAACTCCGGCCCTCCAGATGTTGCTGAACTACAACTCTGATGATTCTATTAATGAAATAGATAGGCTGAGAATCATGGGAGTTGTAGTTCAGAAACATCTGGAGGGCCACAGTTTGGGGAAGCCTGAATTGAACAGTGAAAGAACTAATATAGAGAGGGAGCTGGTGCAAGAATAGTTTTTGTGCCCTAACATAACGCAATGATAGCCAAAAAGTAAATCCCCATCTGTGGTACAACTCCCACAATGCTGTACCAGCTGTGGATCTATCTTGTGCCCATCCTTGCAGTGTTGTATTTGTGAGCAGTGTTTGCACGTTTGGATGTATGCATGTTTTTGTATGGAGTATGTGGGTGCGTGAATGTAGGGGTGTATTTGTACATACCGTTGTCGTAGAAATGCAGTGTTGGGCTTCTATGTAACATTTGAGTTTGAATGCAGGGGTGTGTATGTATGTAGAGTTGAATTTTAAATGCAGGTGTACTTTTGTGTGTAGTGTTGA